GTTTTTTCCTTAAAATGGGTCTAAGAATTACCTCCTTGAATATCAGCATGTGTTTAAGGAACACCCTGTATAACCTTCAGGAAAAGTTTCGTTTTCAGTAATGAAGGCATGTTTGACAAAACGGAATTCAATATCCTATTTTGTATTTTTTTGTAGTTTTCCAACAACAATTTCATAATATTTTTCCATAAATGATCACAAAAACTAACTTGAAGAATTTCTCTTTTTATAAAAAAAAATCAGAAAAAATGTATTGGTATTACATATACTTTATCAATAATACATTCCGTATACTTTATCAGTATCAAAAAGTGGTTTTAGATATTTTTTTGTGATATTTACCGTAGATTCAATATTATTTTGACAATGATTATTATTCTGTTATCAAAAACCCAAGAAGTTCAAGAACAACAATTGGCTTATCAAATGCCCCAAATCATATGATATGGAAGATAAAAAAATATATTTTTCATATTATTCACTTGATTTCCTGAACGAAAATATAGCGCTTCCTATCTTTGAATCCAAAGTGTGTGTGAAACATCATAAAAATTTTCCATTCGTTTGAAAGAACTATCGATGCCATTAAGTGTGGGATATATCATCATTCAAATTTTGGCCAAGGCTCCTCTGGTGGAGCGCATCCGAAACGTCGAATTTTCCGTGACTCTGGCTCATAAATTAGGCTGAATTTGACCAATAGCATGGGATATGTTGGCCTTGAGAACCGCTGTGGTTTGTGGCCTATTCGAATACAACTGCGCTTTATAGTACGGTTAATTTAGACCAGAAAACAGTAATGAAATAACAAAAATTGCGACAGAGCTAAATTTTGGTGAAGACCTTTATTTCACCATAAAAAATAAAAATTTGAAAGTCTCAATCTGTCCCATGAGCGNTGAGTTAAATGCCAAGTTGAGACTTATTGCAGAACGAGCAGAGCGTATGTTACGCCACTCTTTGTGCATCTATGAAGAAAAATATCTCCCGATTTTTAAAAAATATATGACTTCAATTATATTTGGAGAAGAAAGAGTATATTTTAATCGACGAAATATTTATTTGTTCAACTATAGGCAGATAAGTTACAGATTTACCGCCTCGGCTATCATTTCATCTTCAAGGTGAGACCGAGGCAATGAAACTAACCAAGGCAGTAAATTTGTTTCTCTGCCGTGTGAAACATATTTTTTTTTCTCCGATTGTTTGTGTGGTATGTTCGAAAAATGAAACTGGAATTAATTTTTTTTATATAATGAATATGACTCATTTTTGATATTTTTTTCGTTCGATTGATAACCTATCCATTTTGTAGAAATTCACGTTGAATATAGGATGAAGAAAATAACTTACATCTGATTTCTACTAAGTATTTCATTCGTTATGACCGGTTTCGGTTTATTAAACCATTTTAATAAACCCTTGGATTGTGAGTTTATTGCTTTATCAATGTCTGTAATACAAAAGACAGGTCTGTATTAAACAAAAAAATGTTGATGGTGGCCATGTTGATACGAAACGTTTTATCGAATATTTATTATTACGTCGTCATAGTACACTTCGATTACAATAACATTTTTTTCCATTTTTTGATATTCTCCGAAATAACAATTCCATTCCAAAAAAAACGAACAGCATTTTTGGTTTTCCTCGTATAACACGAGAAAGGCAAGGATCTCCGTAAATTTTCTTCGACCATTATATTATTCCCAATGACAGTTACCCTGTTTCCCATTCAATTTTCTTCGTATCTGTTATGGTTTAGAATATAGCAATGTTACCACATGATAAAAGAAACGGCCTGTATCTTGTTTTTGAATACAATAATGTCAGTCATACAAAAAACGCCTAAAATGTATAAGTACTGTTCAAAATACGTTATTATTAATCAATTTTGAAGTAATTGAAATTTAATTTCAAGGAGAATCTAGTAAAAATACTTTTTTCGTATTTGCATGAAAGTTGTTATATTTTGTTTTTTAATATGTCTGTACTCACCTTTCATGTTTTCAGTTGCAGATTCTGTTTAAGAGTCATAGAATAGAAAGCAGAAGGAATACAATTGATCATTTATCCTAATGTGAAATTGATGTCTTTTTTTTTCATAAGAAAACCTTTCGATGTCATAAATGTAAGGTTTTCAAAGCTGATGATCTTTTGGCATGTTTATCTACAAAATATATTGTTCATTTGGATTTCATTAACTCTGCCTAATTGGGAGTTTTTGGTTCTTTCCTTGTTCGATCTTTCATACTACGAGACATTTTCTTTTCCATAACTTGAACTCAATTTGTATCATCAAGGACTGAGACATGAATCAAATAAAATATAATGTCACTGTCTGAAAGACAGACTGGTGTCACATAATAGTTGCGTAAACCCTACCTTATGTAGGTTTTCAGACAACTTCTAGGGTGTCAATATACAAGTATTTACAGACTTACAGCTGGGTATCTCGAATTCCGAAATTCTTACCTAATTTAAGCTTAAATGACTGGAGTAAATAAGCACCGCTGAACAGATAATCGTCAATGTGGAAGTCTATTTTGAGGTTAAAGACAAATCGTACTATAAAAATGGTATCGCCTTTGAAGGCAACTATATTAAAAAATACAATCAAATTTTATCAAATAATTTTTTTCTCTGTTAGTAGCCTGCGAACTTTGCAGCCTAACTGTAAATTCAATGTACGGTTATCTTTTATCTATAAAACACTTTCGTTTGTTATATTTCTGAAATCATTTCTCAGAGCATATCATGCTATGTAATATTAAACTTTTTCAAGAAAAAGGTTACACTAATTACTTACATAAAAGATTATGGCGGATGGTAATAAACTTGCCAGATTTGGCAATCCAAATCGATATATGAAGTACACTTGTATAATCTCAAATGATGTATTCAGTATCAGGAAAGTTGTGTTGAAAGCCTTCCACTCCCATAATCTAACTAGCATTAAGAATTTGAACATATCTTCTGAAACAGCGAATAAAAAAATTGAAATAAGTACTTTCGAAAGCTTGGACTGTGTGAACAAAGCATTGTGACAGACATTGCTTCACAGAAGTTGACAACACACGCCTATCAAATTCAAGCCACTGGTTTCAGTGCCGGTGCACTAAAAGTGACAAATTTTGCTACCACCAGCATTGAAATCATCAACAATTGTGAATGATATAGGTCAATATTGATGTAGGTAATATTGAATTATTCTTTGTGTAAATTCGAAAAAAGCTACTATATTTCCAAAATGGATGAGCCACCATTTCTTTGATTACTTGAAAGTTGATTTCTGCAATGAAAGTCGAAACTGGAACCTCTGGCATAGAAAGAATCCAAAACAAGCAGTATTCCTAATCATCAGAAATGCAATACTCTTTTTGACGTGCGTTTCACCAACAAGTTAGAGAAAAACTTCTTCTGAAGTCGGGAATATTGCTTGTTTTTGATTGTTTCATGTATATCACATGATTTCATGGGCAGTTACTAGTTAGCATGATGAGTTGGCGTGGGGACTGCTTGGAAAAATTGAGGAGATTCTTCAAAGACAGAATTGAGTTATATGTCAAGGTGACACTTGTTGCAGAACGAGCTGAACGTATGTTACGCCACTCTTTGTGCATCTATGAAGNGTTTTCAAAGCTGATGATCTTTTGGCATGTTCATCTACAAAATATATTGTTCATTTGGATTTCATTAACTCTTTCTAATTGGGAGTTTTTAGTTCTGTCCTTGTTCGTTCTTTCATACTACGAGACATTTTCATTTCTAAGTCATTTAGATAATCTATAATTAATTATACCGAAATTGATATTCTCGATATTTTAGGAAATAATTGATTTTCCATAACTTGAACTCAATTTGTATCATCAAGGACTGAGACATGAATCAAATAAAATATAATGTCACTGTCTGAAAGACAGACTGG